ATGAGAACGTAACTTTGATGACATTCCTTTAGTAGGTTAGTAAAACACAAGGATAACTGAGGGATTTAGCCGTGTTAACCGTATTTACATTTAGTCGTATTAAGACGTATAGGCTGCTTCCCGAAACAGTACGGCAATCCATTCGGATTTTTCGTAAAACTGACTCCACCTTACATTGTTTTTCATTCACCCTCTATACGACTCAGCCCGAATATAGTGTTTCAGGATTTCAGTAAAATAACCAGCAAACCACCTGTGATGAGTTCTGTACTTTTAATCTCTACAAACTGGCTTATCAAATAATTATCAGCGTTAATTTTAGCCTCTTAATTTTAATATCCATTTTTCTAAATAGCCTTAGCTTGTACGCTCTCCAACAAGATAGCATTCCATCATACACTTGATCTTTATCAATAACACAGCTCTCCTGTTCGTTACTCTCAGAAAGGACTTTAAGCAGCGATCTTGTACTAAGTCACTGTAGCCTGTGATTGTTAGAGGAGATAGGACAGGATCAGAAGTGGTTGTCATGTCAATCGCTGGTACGGTACTACCACCCTCTTCGTCTTTAGACGTAAGTCCCGATTAAATTGTAACTGCGGATTCCGCGACTGCCGCCTCAGCCTCAACCAGGTGTGAAATAATCCTTTTCTTGGGGTTTAACGAGGGAGCATTATGTCGAGAAGCCGAATCGGGGTCTCCAGTTGCAGGGAGGAGTTGGAGAGGAAGGGCGGGAGCACTAAAGCCCGCGGTTTGATTGGCCAGGTTATTTTGTATTTCCATGCCGCCTTCCATCAGGGCTTGAGAAAGCCAGCGTTTCTTAAACGGCTTGGCAGAAGTAGGTCGGGAAGTAGTGAGGTGTTCCAGAGCTAAATAGCTGTTCACCTGCACGGTGGATGGATGATCATCTAGGAGCTCCCCACCCTGGAGAACTTCATCATCAAAGTCCTCACCTTTGGACGAGAGGCCGTCGTGTGGGTGGTGCATCATTTGGGAGACGTCGACAGACAGGACAGGTGGATTTGTGTAGGAGACGGAGCGCGATCGACTGAATTTGGCCATCGGGTCTACCTCGCGCCGCCTATAGACAAACAAGCCGCACTCAGCCTAACCGTCTTTGGGGGAGCATACAGAGGTAGGGTCTACCCTGGGTGAGGAGCACAAGGCCGACTCGGTGGATACGGGCGACCTCCACGCCTGGTCAACAGCGTCGAAACTGCTTTCGTCCGAGGTCGCAGAGGCGCGCGGATTGCTTGCTCGTCTGCGGCGCTTACGTTTGCTAGCGGCTTGCCGAACAGTTCGTTTAGAGGATCGCTGCTGAATTCCAGCGGGCCCTTCGGCTTCCGACACATGAGCAGTCATCATAGAGACCGTGAAATCTATAGATCCAGACACGTCAGGTCTAGTGGCATTCGTGGATGCGACGCCGGTATATGAACGTTTCTGGGTTGTCTTTGCTGTCTTATTCTCCATTTCCGCAATCCTCTGCAGTTGCAGCTGAAGCCAACGATCCTCACGAGACAGGCCGGTGGATTTTCCTGAACTATCAGGCGCGGTAGCAGCGGAAACCTGTGTCTTCTTCCGCCGATTCCTAGACTGTTCTGAGGGTGAGTCGGGGCCTTCATCTTTCGGCGGTTCAGGTTTCAAGCTGTCCTGGGCAGACCAACTCATCTTCTGTGGTTCGCTGGCGGTGGTCACCACTTTCAAACCGGGCAGTGAGAAGTTGCTTGAAGTATCGCCGGCGCCTATAAAAACGTCTTCAACCGAAGAAGTCGACCACACTCGTGATTTGGTTGACTTTTCTCTACACAAAGACACTCCGTTACCGTCATCAGGAGCAGGAAGCGGAGAAAGCGGGCTCGCCAGATGTGAGGTGTCGATAGGTCCTTGAGAAATCTCAGAAGTCGGTTTCACCTCATCCTTGGAGGTTGTACGGGGTGGTTTTTTCTGTTTCTTTTCCATCCGTTCAGTACAACGGAGCACCTCGGCCATCCAGGTATCTTCGCGTGAGGCTGCTACAGAATCCTTTTGTTTGGGTTCAGGAGACCTCATGTCAGTATGACCAGCAGAATTTGCGGGCGAAATTCATTGGGCAGCTGGTCCGATACCGTTGGAAGCCCATTGTCTGCCTCGCTGATGGTCTGGCCTTGACGCTTTGTGCCGGAGGCAACAGGAAGCTCCGGGGCTTTGGTGAGGTTTCAATAACATCAGCTGGCGTCTGGAGTGGAGGCCTTTTCGTTGTCTTCCTCTTGGGACCTTTTACTAAAGACCTAGGAGTTAGATGATGTTCCTGATTCTTGGTCCCTTCCACTGCTGCAGGCCTTTTCTCCCCCACATCCTCATTATCATCCCGCTGCATATCGGCCTGTATTACACCGACTGTGTCAGGCAGCTTATCGGAGTTCTCGGAGAGGTTGCAAGTCGCGCGAGATCTGACCAACGATGGTGGCGAAAGAGGCCCAGAAGGGGAGGTTGCAGGCTCTAATGAGGCAGGACTAGGTCCAGAGCGACGTCTACGACCTGGGCGCTCATCTGAAGTGGTCTGCCAGTTTTGCTGCTGCCTGCTGAAAACGGTCAAATATCTGGCGCTAGTGCGAGGCATGTTCCTCTGCCGAAGAACGTGCGACGAGTATGTCATCAAGGTAGGCACAAATGAATGAGAGACCCCGCAATATGTCACCGATGAAGCGTTGGAAGGATTAGGCCGCGTTGCGCAAACCAAACGGCATGCGAAGGAATTCGAACAAACCGAAAGGCGTTGTGACGGCGGTCTTGGGGATCTCTTCTTCCTCGACCGGAATTTGGTGATATGCTCTCACGATTTCTTATTTGGAAAAACTAGTTTTTCCGGCTTGCGTGTGAGAAAAATCATGCATATGGGGAATAGGGTATTGGTCGGGAACAGTGGTTCTGTTGAGAGCGCGATAGTCGCCGCATGGTCTACAATCATCAGTGGATTTATTGGGTACCATGTGGAGGGGAGAAGCCCGTGGGCTGGAGGAAGGACGAATAATTCCTAGGTTCATAATATGCTCAAATCCGTTCCCTACTATCCGAAGTTTTTCGGGGTGAAGACGGCGAGGATTAGCGTAAACAGGTTGCCCTGTTGTGATGATGTGGTTTTTAACAGTATGCTGAACTTCCCCAGTGAACTGACAGGGCTTAATGAGGGACGGGTAGTCCTTCAAAATGTCAGCAAAGGGTGAGATGGGAACGGCAATAGGCCATCGTGTGAAACGGTCAACCGCTGTCAGAATATGCGTTTACCCGCGTGAAGGGGGTAGCGGACCAAATAAATCCAAGTGGACGTGGTGGAAACGAACATCTGAAACGGTAAATGTACTTGGTGGAGTAAATGTGTGACGGTGTACTTTATTTTTCTGGCAGGCTAAACACTGCGTAGTCCAAAGAGCGATGTCAGAGTTCATCTTCGGCCAGATATAACGAGCAGCGAGTTGTTTACGCGAAGCGCGGATGCCAGGATATGACAGGGAATGAAAATGCTCAAACACTGTCTTGCGGTAGGATAGTGGAACAACAGGTCGAGGAGTGCCTGTGGACCAGACGCATAAAATCGTGCCTGGTGATGCGGGAATTGGTGCATCTCGAAGTTGCAGAATAGTAGTAGAACGCAGGTCGTCAATGGACTTGTCGCCTGATTGGAGGTCTGCAAGCTTCATCAGGTCGAAATCGGATGTAAGTGTGTTGATGTCCGGACGGGATAATGCATCAGCAGCAACATTGTCGCTGCTTTGGACGTAGCGGATATCTGCAGTAAACTGCGATATATAGTCCAGATGACGGACTTCCCTGGGCGAGTACCTATCTGGCTTGGTCTTGAGAGCGTAAGTGAGAGGTTTGTGGTTGGTGTGAATAGAAAAATCTCTGCCTTCTAAGAGGTGTCGAAAATGACGAATGGCCAGGTAGATGGCAAGGAGTTCGCGAGAGAAAGTACTGCAGCGAGTCTGCGCCGGTTGTAGCTTCTGTGAAAAGAAAGCCAATGGCTGCAACTGGTTATTCACCTGTTGATGCAGGACAGCGCCAACAGCACTGTTGGAAGCGTCAGTGGTCAAGATCAGCTGTGCGTGGGGATCGGAGATGAGATGGTGAAACAAAGTGGCATCAGCAAGAGCTTTCTTAGCTGCCTCAAACGCTCAGTGAGCTGCTGGAGGAATTTCGATTGGCTTTGCTTTAGACTTTAGAAGGTCAGTTAAGTGAGCTAGGGTCGCCGCACAGTGAGGGATAAAACGTCTGTAACAGTTGAGAAGACCTATAAAACGCAGCAGCTGAGTTAGGGTCTTGGGGACAGGGAATGACAGGATGCTGTGCACCTTCTCTAGCAGCTGTGTGATTCCATGCTGGTCGACGTGGTGACCAATGAAATCTAGAGAAGAGACGTCAAAGGTACATTTGTCGACGTTCAATTGCAGACCCTGTTGCTGGAAACGGTCGAATATCTGACGCAAGTGCGAGGCATGTTCCTCTGCCGAAGAACTTGCGACGAGTATGTCATTAATGTAGACATAAGTGAATGAAAGACCCCGCAAGATGTCATCGATGAAGCGTGGGATGGATTGGACTCCGTGGCGCAACGGTAGCACTTCTGAAACCTGATCAGAAGGTTGCGTGTTTAATCACGTGGGGGTTACCAATTTTGTAGTGTAAACGGCAATTAAACTACAAACAACAATAAATATCTAACTCTAAATGGGGGATGTTGCGTTTCTTCCAAGAAAAATAACGATAGCAAAATGAGTATAAGAAAAACGACAAAAGGTAAATAAGTGTACAGACTCACGATAAATAAAGCCTTATCCACAAGCGTTGGCCGTAGGGTGAATGTGCTGGGTAAAATCTGAGATGAAGTCAGTGAATGAGGCTTGTCGCTCAGATGAAATTACGTCCAGTTAAATATGGCCAAAAGCTATAGAAGTTTCGTGTCGATTGACTAAAAACGATTGACACAAATGAGTGCAATCAACGAAACAATGACACCAAGCAGCAGACGGACACAAAGGTCACGCTTTTTCACAAGTCGGAACCAAGTATGTCCGTCTTCTGCTTGATGTCATTGTTTCGTTGATTGCACTCATTTGTGTCAATCGCTTTTAGTCAATCGACACGAAACTTCTATATCTTTTGGCCATATTTAACTGGACGTAATTTCATCTGAGCGACAAGCCTCATTCACTGACTTCATCTCGGATTTTACCCAGCACATTCACCCTACGGCCAACGCTTGTGGAGAAGGCTTTATTTATCGTGAGTCTGTACACTTATTTACCTTTTGTCGTTTTTCTTATACTCATTTTGCTATCGTTATTTTTCTTGTAAGAAACGCAACATCCCCCTCTTAGAGTTAGATATTTATTATTGTTTGTAGTCTAATTGCCGTTTACACTGCAATCCTGTCAAATATATTTTCAAAAAAATACCAACACAGTCCGGCCCTACCTAAATGACGATTTCTGAGACAAAGACTTACTCAATTACCATCATGGATCTTTGGATCGGCATGATCTTCCCTCGATTATGACGCAACAGCTCTTTTTGACGTCACTTCGAATTTTCAAAAGACACCTTTAAATTTCTCTCTCGTAGATATCTGAAGTCTTTCGTTTTGGATTCAATTTTTCTCGCATTCTTAAAGCAGGCCAACAAACTGAGGAGGCAGCAGGTTGGCTTATTCGCCAGTTCTTTATCCATCTATCCAAGAACCACACAGATTTTTGAAATGGACTTGAAGATGCCTCAAGCGCGCGACAGGCCGAGAGAATGACTTGCACATAGTTACTCGGACTCTGTCAGATCCTTGCTAAAATCTCCAGACATCGGTCCTCCTCTGAACGCAGTCGGCAAAATTTCTTCTTGCCAAAGGCCTACAAGGTCTTCCTTATCGATGAGACTGAGAAGGTGAAGTCGTCTTGTACACTCTTTGCACAACAGCTTTATTCTGACTCCGAACTGACACCTGTCTGTCGCCCGCTTTCAGATTAATCACTCTATACGGTCGATTTCTACTCAGGCCTAACTTAGAAACACTTAAGTTGGAGAAGAAGAGGGGTCGAGAACCGAAACATTTTGTTTATGGTTCTGAAATTCCGAACTCGTGCAGGAGTCCATCGTCAGAGATAATAGCATCAACAGAACAAGCGAAAGCTCTAGGGCGTGTAAGCCAATCATCGACAGACGATGCAAGACTGGAGGTGACTGCGTAGGGCCCCGTACGCCGGCTCCAGGTCCAAAAACCGATTGACGGTGTTCTCAACCGAAGCCTAGGTCCCAATCAATTCTTGGCCTATTTTGTTTTCGGTGTTGGTGATTATTTTGGTGACTGTAAAGTTAAACTCGTGACCCGTGTCCTATGTTTGGACCGCCATTTGTGGTAATGAATCGCATCGTCGCACAGTCGGCTTATGCATACACCAAAAACTCGGACATTCGCCATCAAACCTGCGTCGCGTAAAGGAGTCACACTGCTTTGGAACGGATGGCATTTCAAACTCGAACATCATACGGGAATCGGGCCATCCCAGATTGTTAAGCAATCGATCCCAGGTCTATATTTCCAGCGGACGTTTCCCAGACTCCTGGAGGGCGGCAGTTATTCTTTCAGTTTCCAAGCCTGGGTCTCTATCTGATGTTAATAATTATTGGAGCAGGCACGAACTACTGTCTAACAAAAATTCATGGAAAGATAACGTTTAATGCCCAAAAGTATGTATTTGGACAGAACGACGTCGTTACCTCTGGAATTGGTTGTTCCTTGTTTATCGGAGCATCGTTCAAAAAACACCTATTCTAATAGTCATTGTAAGGACAATTATTTCCTTAGGACCGCGGTGGAATAAGACAGGGCAAGTTAACCGTCGTAGGTCCGAAGATGACTAGTTGGTTGGTACTCCCTTCAAGTAAGGGTGGCTGCCATAAGCCAATTAAAACAAGGACGCGCATTCGTGTCCTGACAATGACATATCTTAAATGATGGGCCACAGATACACCTGAGCCCATACCCATCGGCAAATATCAAATAATCTGTACGTAATCACAGG